CATGACATCATGATGTGTTATACAGTCTAACTGATGACATCATGATGTGTTATACAGTCTAACTGATGACATCATGATGTGTTATACAGTATAACTGCAGTTGGAATAAATGACCTACAGAAGAGCTCCGTCCTGCAGTGAGGATGTTTGCCTCTGACTGAAGGAGCTGCTCAGCCCCCCCCGTGGTGGGGGTTGTCCATCATGGTGACATCACTTGTAATTATAGGCTCGATACATTTCCTGTTTAACTTTGATTGAACTGGAAACGTCACGTTCCTCTTCTTGTTGCTACGGCTGAGGCCTGCTAACACAATTATTGAGCTCTACCTGCTATTTTCTGCTTAGAAACAGTGTTTTAACAAGTCCTTTTATAAAACCTGAAGTAGCCATCAAAAATACAGTGAAATGTAAATTTTACACTAACATGTAGCCATCACTAACACAGAGCTAACACTAATGTTAAGCTAACATCAACATAGTGCTAATGCTAACACTAATGTTGAGCTACCATTGACATGGAGGTAACGCTAATGTTAAGCTAACAGCGACATGGAGCTAATACTAATGCAAAGCTAATGTTAGCAGCTTCACTCTCATTTTCTCTCATTTTTCGTTTCGTTTCAGCAATACTTCCACGCCGGAGGAAACGGGCTGAAGAAGGCGTTTGTGGAGAAAAGTCCGGAGCTGGCGTCGTTACGTTACGCCCTGTCACTGTACTCCCAGAGCACCGACGCTCTGATCAAAACCTTCATCACAACCCAACACTCCCAAGGTGATGCAGAGACAGGAAGCTGTCGGCTGTTTGTTTGGTTCTGGTTTAAGTTGACCTAAAGTCCTCTGAATGTTTCTGCAGTCCACGACGGGATGGGGGTCAGGATCACCGGCAGCGAGAAGATCCCACCTGACAGAGGTGACACTTCCTGTCACTTCATTTCTCATAGAGATGTTAGAGCTGCAACGATAAGAAATGAATCAGAGTTCAAGGTTTTGTCTTTAATAACAAAGTGATAAAATGCTGATCTGTTTTTATACAGGTTCAGGGGTGGAGAAGCCCATCGGAGAGGCTGTGCTGCAGATTGACACAATACTGGGAAAGGAACGGAAAGTCAACGTTCGAGGTGAGATTTTAATATGTAATGTTTGTTATCATCCTGGTGGACAGTTGGTCAGTCCTCTATCAGAAGATCAGAAGCTAAACGCTAACAGTCCTCTATCAGAAGATCAGAAGCTAAAAGCTAACAGT